GAGTGCGCTTAAAACTTCAGAGAATTTCTATCCGAGTGCAAGGTGCTCATATTAAACTACTGTATTCTGGCTTGTTCCACCTTAGACTTGTAATATTTTTGCAACTCTGTTCCAAGATACCTCAAGTCCTTTGACATTTGAGACTTTCAATGCCAAGAAAAAAAATCTTCCTAAAGTTGTAAGAGATTGACAATAAAACAATATCGCAAAGAATATTTTCCAGCTAGTGCATTTATCTAAATTGTGGAGCCAGCACTTGATTAATAAGTCACAGATGTTCTAAATTAAGTGCCTATGTAAACAATTAAGGCACTTGCATTCAAAGGTAATGTGGAACAGGGTGAATACCATTCAATATTCCACGCCAGTGCCACAACTATTGCCCTTTGAAAACAGAGCAGTTAAACTTGATCCATAAGTTGTCTCAACATCCCTCTCAACACTTCAATAGAGCATAAGAACCCTTTCCATTACCTTGTGCTAGGACACTGCCTTTTAAGCCAGCCTAAATGTACCAGGGTCCTGCCTGTATCTATCACCTATCAACAGTCAGGATGATGTGTCCATTTCCTACACTAGTAGTCACATGATCTTATGCGAGTTCCAAGTGAGCATTAGGTGCTGTACCAACAGTGAAGTCCCCTCCCCACAGAGCTGACAATCTAAGCCAGAGACACTGAGGAATAATTATCCCCAGGTTAAAGAACTATCCCCCAGTTAACTAATGAGCTAACTGAAGTGCCAATTGCATGACTTCTCTGTTGTCACACAGCAAGTCTGTGATCGAGCCAGAAACTGAACCCAGACCTCAACTCCCTGCTGCACCTACAAGCTTGTGGGTAACAGAACTATTTGGGTCAGTGAGCAAACAGAATGCTGCAAAACAATCCCTTGCAACCTTCCAGAACAGTAAAAAAGTGCTTTTAAGTCAACAATTCACAGGGGAAGAGAGTCAACTGGGAGACTGCATATCAATTCACACCTAATACCTTCCACAGTACTGGCACTCAGAGTCCTGGAGAAGCCTGTTGTACTTAACTGTTTGCAAGACAGGGTGTGGTGAATACTCCATAGTTCACCTGGGTGAGCAGGCTATTGTTCAACTAACAGAGCCAAGCAAGAAAGATTCAGGAAGAGCCCTCATGTTTCTATTAGTACAAATCCTCATAAAATGGGTTTGTACTATGTGCTCAGAAAAGCTTCCTTTTTTGAAGGGGGGAAGGAGTAGTTTTGTTGATCCCGTCCCACCCCCACCACACCCGCAGTTCTCAAAGCTTGAATGGAGTTCAGAAGAGAGCAGCAGCCTAGTTTCTGCTGATATTGCAGCTTTTACACCACACCATAAAGCTTAGCTATCCATAAGGGATACCACAGCACCTAAGAGCAGAGGGGCAATTTGAACACTAGAAATTCAGCCTAACTCCACATGGAGCAGAATCTATCCAGATCCTGCTCCCACAAACAGATTTTAAGGCCAAAATAGCCTAATTAAAAAAATTAAAAAACAATGGTCCTGCAGCACCTTCAAGTCTAACAAAAAATGTAAATAGTGTCATAAGCTTTCCTGGGTACAGCCCACTTCCTCATATGAATGGAACAAGGGGTCCAGAGGTACAAATAAATAGCAGAAAAAGAGGGGAGAGAGGGAAGGGAAAAAGAAAAAACCCTGTTTCCCAGCACAAAGTGTTTGTGCTGAATGACACCAACACAGTGAGCTGTAAGTGCCCAATACTTAGCTTCTGATGTCATTTGGGCATTGAATATAGCTGCCCATCCAGTTCCCATCTTTGTTCAGACCGTGGTTAAATGTGTCAAATTTGCATATGAAGGCAAGTTTTGCAGTTTCTCTCTCCAACTGGTTTTTTAAATTGCTTTGTCAGAGTCGCTTTGAGATCCATTAATGAGTGCCGAGGAAAGTTAAAATGTTCCCCCAACAAGTTTCTGAGTACTGAATTTGTGTCTACTAATCCCTGCTGGCAGAGACTATCCAGTTTGTCCAACATACATTGTAGAGGGGCATTGCTGAAACTTGATGGCACATATCAGTCTCTCTCACTGTATAGAGTATCCTTGGGGTAATCGAGAGAAGTCTGGGGGGTACATCAACACAACTGAAATTTGGAGAAAACTGAATGTGTGTTTTAAGTTTCACAGCACCTTATTATTTTTGTACATTTTGTAATCTGACCAAAGTCCCACAGCTTCAGAAAATCGCCTTGAAATCTCAACAGCTTTGCTCAATGAGAGGTCTCTGAACATTTAAATCACATTTTCAGTCCTTTTCATACTGGCTAATAGTTCAAAATCAGTTTGAGAGAAAAGCCACATTGAAATCAAGCAAATGCTACAATGGTACAATGTCAAGATCCAAACTTCCTTGCCCTTTGGCAGAAGCCAGAGGATGCTCATTGTTTGATTGTTGTAAGATGTTACATGAACTTATTAATATCATTTGTTTGCTAATTAATGGTTCTTATCTGCCCCCTTTGACTATCTAGTCTTAAGGTGCTTATAGACTCAGCTTTCCCTTGATACATTTTTTACCCACTGCCTTTTCTTGGTCATCCATCTTCTCCGCCCCCCCCCCCCCCCAATTTTCCCTTCTTCCACTCCCCTTGCCTCTCCCCTGTTTATTTTGGTCCTAGACATCCAACACTTCAGTCATCTGAAGAAGTGGGCTGTGCCCACAAAAGCTCATGATACCATCTACATGTTTTGTTAGTCTTTAAAGTGCTACCCGACTATCTGTTGTTTTTTCAGTTTAATATTATTTGGACTGTATATACATCTCATGGTTTTTTTTGCAGGAAGTCCAAACATCTAACAAATTGTCCTACTGGAGTTACCCATTCCCTTAATCTACTATAAAGGGACTTCATTTTCACAACTAGTCAGTTTAAAAAAAAAAGTGATCTAAAACCCAACTAAGAATCTATCCATGCTCTTGCTTCTTACCTGCAACTATTACTTTCATAGCTCCCTTTTCTTATTCTTCTCCTTTGTGAGAATGACCAACTACTCAGAAGAAACAGTGAAACTGACAGTGCCCTCAAGCAAAAAAAAAAAAAAAAAAACCTGAAAAAAATAAAGACAAGCACTTCTCTAATCTCTTCCAGTTCCTTTTAGGTGTCTTTTGTAGCTGTAATAAGTAGCAATTTTGGCAGAGAGGTATGTAAGATGGGTCCTTTGCTCTCTTTAGTCCTTTGAATCCTTCTTTAGTGACAAAGTGCTGACACCCAGTAGCCACACATAGCCAATACAGCTGATTGAGCTGAATTTAGTCTACCTTAGCTTATGCGCAGAAATATCAACCAAGTGCAATTAATATGTAGTTTTTATTTCTAGGGAAAGTGTAATGGCCAAAAAGAGCTCAGTTGGATTTTCTGTTCATAGGCAATGATTGCAGCACTAGGCAGTAAGTCATATTTTGACTGGTAAACTGAATGAACTAACAGGTTTGTCCCCAAATCACTTTTCTGACCATCTGCATGTGGACGGTCTGAAATTGTTTATAATGATTAAACATTCCCCCATCTCATGTTATTTCCTAAACCCTTCTAACACTACTATTGAAAATCGAGTCAAACACAAGCCCCCTCTTCTCAACACATGTATGCAACAAACTCTTAATTTCAATAGAAATTGTCTCAGTTTACAGTCCACAACTCAAAATAGCCTCACTTTCCCACTCTGCCAAGTGCCAACCAAAATTCTCAGCCTCTTGACACCAGCCAACCAAAATTAAAGGCTTACTCTGAAAGTTCTGCCAGAGAAAAAAAATATACCATTACTGTTACAAACCTTGTTAAAACTTTTTGAATGCAACTCACAACAGCATAGGCCACAAGATCATTTCACTGCTTCCTGCTACAGAATTTTGCAATGAAGAGGAAAAGAAGATTTTAATTTCACAGCTGTAAGCAGAAGTATCCTGCTCAGGCCAGCCAATGGCTTGTTTGATTTGTAAGGCACTTGTATTCCTTGGACTTCCTTTTACTTACATAGCTTACTATTTATGCTGGTTCAAGATGAGAAGATCTCCAGACTAACTCAGTGGTACCCAACCTTTTTTATACCATGGACCGGCAAACCCATTAAAAAACACTTGGCACTGAAATATTTGCATATTGTATAGCAATTTTAGCCCATGGAATATCAGGCACATCAAAGGACGGAGGACATGATGGTTAACAAGAATTTGAAAAACTGCTGCACAGGCATTTTAAAAAACAATAAAATAGTTGCTACTGCTTGTTCATGAGCATTCTCCAGTCCAAACCTTTTGCCTCAATTGCACCAGAATTAAAGAGGCAGGAGTTAACAGGTCCGACCACACTGACATTCATATTTTCCTATGCACTTACTGCATCATAATAATGTGTATCTGGTGGGTGGGAGCAGCTGGAGGCCAGGGGAAGGCTCCCGCTGAGCAGGGTGACTGGGAACCACTGTTTTAACGGATCAGTAGGAAACATTATGTTCATATACATGAAGGACTTGAGGTATGGTTTCGAGAGGGCAGAAGCAGAAATTGTATCAAGGAGCACAGCTCTGTGTACGCAGACCAGGAATCCTATAATCTGATCCATGCTTAAACTTCTGAACCAGTGAGAAACCCCACTGGCTTCATAGTGCACGTTTAGAATATGGAAATGGGTATGCCCATAGCATAACTCGACAGTCTAAACCTACACAACATGTGACCCAACCACGTCTACAAGTGGCCCCTTGTTAGGGGTCTCAGCAACAGCCAATGGCTGCACTCCCTTTCCTGTTTCCTAGCTCTTTTCAGAATTATACTGTCCCTGATCATGTTCCACCTGTAAACAGAGAATCCAGCCTGCAGGTCTGTCTATCTGGCACCTTCCAAAAGCACAAATCACTTTTTAAAGCTGAGAAGCTGCTGTGCATTGTTGCTTGCCAGCTCAGTGCTTAGGGGTAGAAAGTCCCTGTCTCTGCAGTTGTCAGTTT